CCTATGATTTTAGACAAACACCCCAAAATTAAATCAAAGAGGAAATAATAAAAACATTAAGATGAAAAAAAGGAGAAAAAAAAACAAACAAAAAAAACACAACACATGCCCTTTATAAACAGTCAAGAGACTAAACAACAGAACCTCTTTTACGCACCGAACATCCTTCAATTTTCTCCAACAGTCCTGTGAGTTTCTTTCTGTTTTCTCTCTCCCGCTTCTGTCTCACTTCCTGTGGGTTCACTTCGATCATTTCCTGGGCTGCACTTCCGGGCCCTCTGTCACCTACAACAAGAGTAATCAAGCATTGCAGTGTGCAATCGTTAAAAAAAAAAAAAAAATTGAAAATATCAGAAACAATATTTTATTCTTTAAGAGAATATATGCACATAGAGGAAGTCAAATATAGGTCTAAAAACTCCCTACAAAAAAATACTATATGTTATAATCATTGGTTGATTAAAATATCATTAACACACCTTTTCAATCTATCAAAAATATTTGCAACTGAAATTTACCTTATCAAACATCCTCATTTCAAGATCAAAAAGTTTATCATATACACTAAACCAATCAAAAAATTATAAATCTATGTATCTATATCTATGTACCTTGTATCCAAGGAACTCTAATATCAATCACTGCTGAATCACTGCAATCAAATAACATGATAAACTGACCTGTTATTGACAATTCCAGTAAAGATGTCAAAAGCGATTTCTGTTCAGTAATAAGGTGGGACAATTGGTACATCTCACTCTCTAAATCTGTAAAAAAAACACAAGAAAGTAACACATAATAACGGTGGAACTATTGCATACAAAATACAACAAACTTATCAAGAACGGTTGAAGATAACTCAATCTAATATACTCAATTTTTACATTTTCAACGCTTTCAGTATGGTGACACTTCTGTCAGTGTCATGGAGGTAAGCTGGAATTTCCTGATCTGAACCTGTAAGTGCTATTTGCAGATCAGCCATAGGTGGCTTTCCACCTTAAACCTGAAGAGTCACTGATCTAGGGAGACTTCTAATGAATATCTTTCAATTCTACTTTTTTTCAATTCTACTTTATTCTTTGAGATTTTTGACCAGCAACTCCCTCTGGATCCTAAGATTCAAGATCATATTGAAAGACTTAAGGTTATTCATGCAAGACTTTTTAAATTCATCAGTGCTAACAATAATATAAAATCAAAACTAAATCATCCAAAACAAAAGAACATTACTTATCTCTTTAGTTGACTTAATATATCAAGGTCTACCACAAAATAATAATTACGAAAATAAACACAGGGACTAATGAGACCCACAAATCAAACTCCTTACATGAAATTTCCTTAGCTGTGTCAATAAACTGCATATAGTTCATATACACATTTTTCTTGAGTTGGGCGTTGGTGTCCTCGGCCAGGTGCTGGATCTTCTGCCTCTGCTGCTGTAGCTCCAGCCCCCCAACACTGCTCTGGCTGAGGTCCTGCACATCTGCTCAGGGATATGGGTTTTGTTAAGTCACTTTACATTCATGATCTGTCAGAGTGCAAAAGCTACTTCATATTATATATACCTACCCTCTACTCTTCTTTCAGACTATATGGAAGGAAGTATCTATAAAGGTATGTATGTATTTATGTATGTTTGAGCAGTATCAACCAGAAATAAGGAGATTAAATACGGATAGTCAAGTACCTCAGAATCAATGAACAATATTTCTAATTTCCAGAATGTTTACTTTATTCTACATGGTTTCAAGTAGTTTATACCTTAAATCAAATAATTTTAATCTCAATATCTAGTGGAAATAAAATAAAGTATATGAAATGTACAAAACATACATTAGTACAATAGATTTATCAAAACATCAGATTCAATCCTGCCAGAATGTATACAATTCTTGGACAGAGTATGAAGTGCGGAGATGATAGCATCACTGACTTTGGTTCTATTCTTGGTAATAATGTACCTATTATTATTATTTATGTAACCTAACAAAATTCAGTACATTTTTTCCCCTAAGATCATAACTTTAATATTCCTACAACTCTGCATGATACTAATTTTGCAATTAACCCCTTAGGAATATTGGCAATTTGTAGACTATATCTGCATCTTAAAACCAATCAAATCTGGCATCAATTGACACCTACTGGTATTTAACAACCAAATACCAAAGCGATAGTTTGTGGAATGAACATACAACAACAATATGAATGGCCATAACCTTTGATCATTTATACAGTAATATGGGACTGAGTGACAGGTAATGGATGTTCTCATTGCAAAGCCTCAGTCTCTGCCAGGATGTGATGTCATGCTTAAAGTATATTACATTGACCTATCTAGGTTCTATCTTGCCGGTCAAATGCAGCGGTTTTGGATTGCCGGTGGGAGCACAGAAATGCATATTTTCTGGGTATGTTGTACAATCTACAATCTATTCTTTACAAACATCTGGTACTTCCTGTCACATGAGCAAATATGCTTTACAATATACAC